ACGATTACGCGGCGCTTACGCGCTTTGATATTTCTACTCCAAATCAGCTATGCAGCGCGATTGCTTAAAAAAATGTTCAAAATTCTAAAAAAAAATCAAAATATAAAAAAAACTGAATATAAAAAAAATAAAATTTTTCAAAAAAGTCATTTTTTTCAAAAATTTAATTTTTTCAAAGTTTTGCATAGTTTTTTTTTAATAATTTTGTTTTGGTACAGGAAGTTCCAGCAATTTGCCTTAAAATACGATGCCAAGCGCCACCACTAGTTGGCATTAAATTTTTTTCAACCAATATTTAGGAAGATACGGGTTAATTTTGTTTCTGGGTTGGCCATCATTTTAAGCAATTAACAAATGTTTATTACTGGTAGTCGGTATATAATAACTGAAAGTAATAAACATTTATTAATTGCTCAAAATGATAGCCAACCCAGAAACAAAATTAACCGATATCTTTCTAAATATTGATTCTAATAATTGAACAAATTTAATGCCAACTAGTGGTCGCGCTTGGCATCGTACCTTAAGGCAATTTGCTGGAACTTCCTGTACCAAAACAAAATTATTAAAGTGCATTAAGCTGTAAATCTCTTCAAAGGGCATTAATCAGAATTAAGTCAATTAGACATTTTATGCAAACAAGTCAAATTGCATGTAAACAAATGCATATATATAAACCGTTAAGCCGTTTGTTGGGAATTAAAAAAAATATTAATAACAAGCGGGTAATTACTATTAGATACAAATTACTGGATCAAATTAATTGTCTATAATTTTTTAAGACTTTTAAGTTCTGGTTTAAGAATAGTAGCAGAGCAACTAGTGAATTTTGGTGATTTTCTAGTTTTGGATGATAATTATTGGATCTTGTTCTTGAAAAATCTTTACATATTGAGCACATTATAATCATTGTGCAAAGTTTTATTGCTTACATACCTGGGGGCCATCATTCTAAGTAGTTTAGATTGTGTTCGCTTTACCAGGGATTACTTTACGAACCACCCGATGAATTATATCATATAATTCTCTACAAACGTGAAATCTCATTAGAATTCGTATTGCTCAAGTCTTCCGCGTTTTAAGTCGAACGCCACTGGGGGATCATTTCACGTTGTTCTAATATTCTTTCGCCAAAATGAGACAGAATCGTGATGAAGCGAAAGTCAGTGGCGGATCCAGCTTCGGCGTCAGGGGGGGGTCATAATTGAAAGGTTTTTAGTATGTAACAAATTTAATATATATATATATATATATATAAGATAGAGCGGGGCTTAAAGATCCGCAGGTAGAAAGGTCTACCACCGATATCTCAAAAACAAGTGAAGTTAAAGATTTCTTAACAACAATATTTGAAAGTAGAGGGAAAAATTGTACAACCAGCCATCACATTGATTCTTACGACTTTTAAAAAAGCATTTTTACAGGAGATAACCTAAATAAATATTTATTCCAACTCTGCTGATGAATATTTTGGACAAAATATCAAATCAATATACTGAGTTACCTTTGTAAAACATTTATCCATAAAATTTATATTTTGCATTGGTTGAATAATGTAGCAATTATTTCGTTAAATTCCATTAAAATTAAAAATAATACATTGGATTGTTTGTCCTCTCGCCGTCCGATTTTACCGCGACTATGGGGAAAAAAAAAACAAGCGACAAATTTTTGAAAAACAGCAAAAAACACATTTCTACAGTGATGAATTAGCTGGGAGATGTACTAAACATAGTCAGATAGTTTTTTGTTTGATGTGTCTTATTTTTTGTTAGTTTTCACAATATAATTTCTCGTAGGTAATTTGGACCCTCCTTATCTTATATATATATATATATATATATATATATATATATATATATTTTGTAGAGTTTCGAACAAGAATCGACTTCCTTTTAAGATCAACAATTTAAGTATTCACACCCTGACATATAAAAACACACACATACAATCTCACATCTCTCGTTCAAGTGTTTACACGTGTTACAAAGGGCACACCAGTTTCATTTAGTTAATTTTCGTAAACCAATCGAACAACATCCAGAGAACAATATTATTTGTGTTTTCAAATAATAATTTTAAAAAAGACAAAGTTTTTTAGTAATTTTGATTTACAAAATCTAATTATTCGGCGGAAAATTAACTCACAAAATCATTTTTGTTAAAAAAGCTTGTTTAGTGAAAAAGTGCTAACAAATATTCAAACATACAGGTAATTAATTCAACTTTGTCATTAACCTTTTCTTAAAAAATTTCCATAACTTTCAAAAAAAAAAAAAAATTTTCTATTATGTTTAATATCCTGTTTTGATAATCCACTCATTTATTTTTTATCATTTTTATTTTGAACATATTATCATATTTCTGTACATTATTATATTTTTTACAATTTAATTCATTATTTAAGAAAAATCTATTTTCTTTTCCTAAACATATTGTTTGCAAAAATCTCATCAAGATCATGTTTCTTGACAGATGTCCTGAAGATGGAACGTACCTAGTTCCGAAACGTCGACAATAAACAAATAATTAAATAAAGAAATTGTTTTTTTTAAAAACTTTTCTTGTTTTTTATTTTGTATTATTTTTGGATTCTTGTTCGAAACTCTACAAAATATACACAAATCCAAGACTCTACCATTCAATATATATATATATATATATATATATATATATGTATTTTTATTAAAATAATCTGCGTCTTCGACGTGGTTCAAAATCTGACCTTACCTCGACGTTTTCTCGTCTGAACCGATGTTAAAATTATTACTATAAAATGAAACTGGATAAGCGCTTGCGTTGGTTAGTTTTGTGAGTCAATTGGTTGATCCGATTCTTTACTATTGGCAGAAAAGTGCAAAAATTATCGTCCATGTTTTTGTCAAAAATTCTTAACCGTTTTAATAAATGGTTTTTGGCGAAGATCGGTCAAATCGTTTCTTTTTCATAATAGATCGTTATTTTTTTTGTGATTTTAGTGAAACTTTGCATGGCGATAGAGATTCTGCTCTAAATGAACATACTAAACTAAACAATATTAAGGCCTGCGACAAGTGGTTTACTTATGATAATTAAAGTTTGGATTATTTGGCCGCACATTTGGAAAATTCATCATATATATGTATTTGGCTTCTTATTTTATATGTGTTCGTTTTCCACCAATGTATAATGTTTAAACCATTTTTCAATTAGTTGGTATTGGTATTTTGCCTTGAGGCAAGTTACATGAACTTCCCGAAATGTGTAAATAATCGACTTAATAATAAAAATCAATAAAAATAATCAATAAAAATAAATTAATTTATGAATGATTAAAAGTATTTCGAGTGCATTTATTATACATAATTGAACACGAAAGAACACGTTAACACGTTGTATTTTCTAAAAGCAATTATTCAAAAATCAACAATTTTTATAATTGAACCAGTTTCCGTAGGATTTTAATGGTTTAGTATGCTCATTAAGAACAAGTACTTTATCGTTGTACCAAGTAAATCGTTTAATTTTAATTTTAACAAACGTCAAAAAACTACTCATTTTCTCAAACTCTGATGAATTTTTGAAACTAAACTACTTGTCGTAAAGCCGTAAAAATTCAGTAAGTTGTATAAGACCATGATATATATCGCCAAAAAAGTTTCATAAAAATTGGCTTAATTTTTTTTTTCAACAACCAAATACAAGAAAACGACTTGGTAGATTTTCACCTAAAACTAATCAGTATCATTCCCAACTAATAAATTTCGAACAGTTTTTGATTTTTAAAATCGATTCGGTAGTATGAGCTTAAATGTGGGCGAAAAGTTTAACACTTTTATCCAAATTACTATGAAACTGCTCGGCCGATCGTCGCACAAAACTGAGAAAAGGTAATCCACATCAAAATACATCGATTGGCTTTTAAATATCTGAAATCGGTTCACGCGTTTTTGAGCAAACGTCGATGAAAGGTTTAATTTTGACAAACGCCAAAAAAACGATTTTGCAAAATTTGACGAATTTTTTAAATTAAACGACTTGTCATAGGACCGTAATATTTTAGTGTGATCTATAAGACTATGGTATCTACCGTCAAAAGAAAATCATATAAATTGTCGAAAAATTCCCAACCAATATCTTTCGAACGGTTTTTGAATTGTCGATTCAAAATTGCGGGCTAAAATGTTGACAAAAATCTTATCACTCTTCTGCTATTTATAAAGAAACTTTGCACAAAACTGACAAACAATACTCCTCAACGAGGTGCATCGAATGGCTTTTAAATTTTTGAAATCGGTCCCGCCGTTTTTGAGAAAACGTCGATTTACGGCAAGAAATCTGTTCACACACACACATACACACTTTTTCCAAATTTGGTCTCATTAGATTTGAATGCAAAATCAGAATTGGCTTGAAACGTCAAAAAAACATAAAATTAGTGAATTAGATTTTTTGAAGAAAACATAAACTTCTTCTTCGGTTAAAAAATAACTACTATATTAAAAAAAATGCATTAGTTTCTCACTTCAAAATGGTTTACAGTATTAGGTATGCTTCTCTAAATCAGTCATTATTTATATAATAAGTTGTCTATTTTACAGATGTTAGGGATTACAGAAAGTTCATGCCTAAGGGTCACTCTCAATTAGTTTAATTTTTTAATTTTTGAATAAAATTTTTTTTTCAAACTGTAATACCTAATTCAAAATTATGTATAGAATATATATTCGCAATACGATTAGAAGATCTAATAATAAGTTAAATATTCAAGTTATAACATGAGTTTGGTAACAAAATACATTAATTAGTGTTGAATTACTGTTTTATCAATGTCCTAAAACAGGCTCAGGGGGGGGTCATGACCCCCGTGACCCCCCCCCTGGATCCGCCACTGGGCGCAACACAGCCGATCTTCATGAGTGCGAACGCATGCGCTATTACTATATTCTATCCTCGCTTTCCCACCACTTGCAGAGATTTGAATTTGTTCTACTCGCGCTCAGTCTTAGAACAACGATACTGTGCGTCGGTATAACGTAAATTCAATAATTACACTTTGCATAACTAGTCAAAACAAGTGTATTGTTTGTTTTTAAACATTCTGTGTGTAATTTGTGGAAAACCCGTTGAATATTTTGTGATGATCACTGATGTGATGACAGTGAGTGTAAGAGATATAGTGTGATTTAAAACGTTGTGATCAATTCGTCTCATCATTGAGCGACACATACAGACGGTAATTTTTAAGATTTCTGTTTTTATCCTTACTGTACTGATGCTTGAGAATTATTATTGCTGTTAGTAATAGGTGACACTTGAATTAATGTTGCTTCCAATTGAAGGTTAAATTTAAAGCCAGATACGGTAGCCTCACATGTTGACTAGCAATAATTTTACAACCATAGGTTTATAAATGGATATTTGCAAATATAAATATATTGAATATATTTATATTTGCGAATTTTTATTTGCATAGCGTACCTATGAAATAATGAATGCCAAATATTTGAATTGAATATGCTGGAATTTTCACTGTCATATTAAGATAATGTTAGTAAAATTTATGATTCATTAATTCAACGTTATTATTCAAAATAAGTGAATACATGAAATTTAAGTAATTTAATCGCTATAAAATAACAAAATTGTATATAATAAAATAGTTATTTGGTATTTAATTAGGTAATTTCAAATTTTATAAAAGAAGATGAATTCAAGGAATGTAGCAAAGAATGCTTTCATGAACTTGAAATTATGATTTGTATGATCTGTGTAGTTTTATCGATCTAAAAAATGTGTTTTTATGTGATTAATCTAAATCAGGTATGCATTCAATAGAATTATAAATTGTAAATACAGTAAAACTTCCTTATTCGCGGGGGATACGTTCCGTAAAAAATCCGTGAATAAAGAATCCGCAAATACAGGATGGCATTTTATATGGAATCATAGAGATACGTTCCAAGGTGACTAAATAATCCGCAAATAATGAATAAATCCGCAAATACAGGATGACATTTTATATGGAATTGTAGGGGATACATTACAAGGTGTCACCGAATAAAGAAAAATAAGTATTGTTTAGAACTATTATTTAATATGTAATATTTTAAGTGTAACATATCCCATATTAAAACTAGTTTAATTAGTAAGTAATAAGTTTAGTATCAAATCTAACATTAATATAATACTTTATATTAATTAAAATAAAGTCAATTCATAAAAGTTTTATATTAATGTTAGTTGTGGTACTAAACTTATTACCAACTAATTTTAATATGATATCTGTTATACTTAAGATATCGCATATCACATAATAGTTCTCAGAAATATATAAGACTAATATCATTTTTAATTATAGTTTTTGTACAAATTTTGATTAATTTTGTTGAGGCTAAGGCAATGATTTGAAGAACTTTGTAATATTGCTTCTTTAATTCAAACTGATACTCAGTCACATCAGTAATTAACTTCCCGTAGGGCAAGTTATAGTAATCGCAAAAAAATCGAAAATGAAAATTTTTGCATTTCTCGACGTTTTAAAGGTTTCTGAATATTTTGGCATACCTTAGAAAAAATGGATGTATGTGTGTGCGGATACAATTTTTTGTCGACGATTTCGGGAACACGGATGAAGCGATTTTAATAATTCAAAAAAACATTCGATTTGTATTCATTCGTAAGGAGACGTGCTGATTAGTTTTTGGCGAAGGCAGGTCTCGCCGTTCCGAAGATACGGGGCAAAAAGTGCCGAAAACGGTAACTCAGTTTTAAGAGAACTCAAAAAACATTTTACTTGTATTGACAAGATGAGATCAAATTTTCATGAAGGAATGAAAAAAGTAAAAAAATGCCATTTGGCGGTCAACAATGATCATTAGACATATGCACATCAAACTATCAGATATTTTATAGAGGTTTTAACAATAAGTATAAATTTTGTTCACATTCCTATGGGTTCCATACGAATGTTTATCCGTTAGACAGCGACGCGGCGCTTACGCGCTTCATATTTTGTCTCTATGCAATTAAAGCAGTACGATTGCTTTGAAAAAAGTTCAGATCTTCCAAAATATGTCAAAATAAAGATTAAAGAACAAAATTTTTTTTTCAAAAAAAAAGAATTTTTTGTCCAATTTATAGTTTCTGAAAAATCTTATTTTTTCGAAGTAAAATTTTTTCAAAAATGTTAATTGTTTTTAAAAAATAATAATTTTTCTTACGGGAAGTTCCAGCAATTTGCCTTAAGGCACGATGCCTTAATTGCCTTAAGACAGAATTCCACTTACAGCTAGTTTGCCTTTTAAAAATAACAGTTTCCATATACGGATTAATGCCTATATAAAAATCGCACACTTCATTTTTAATTCTTCACTAACAATATTTTTCAAGATTTTGTAAGATTTTTCAAATTAAATGTCACGTTTCTATGCTTGTAGAAGCAATTGAAGTGAATTGCTCTTCTTCAATGGGCTGGGAATGTGGATTTCATGTCGATTTTGAGTCAAAAATCTACATTAATCATCGAGTAATAAATAAGGTTGTATTGGTTTACATTCAAAAAACACCAATAGCGGCGAAGACGGTCAAGGCAACGGAGGCGGCTTATATCTAAGATTTATTTATTAGTTCAAAATGACTGCATTTTTTTTTTATTATTATTTTTATTGGCTTTATAAGCTAGTACATTAGCCATATACTAAATTACATAATATCTACACTATGACTGCATTTACAAAGGATTTTGGGTTTGATACATATTGGAATCCGCAAATAACGAAATTTTTAGCCGCGAATATAGAAAACGAAAACGCGTATATAGGAAGCGCGAATAAGAACTTCTATTGCAATATATGAGTAATTCCTGAGTATGATCTTTATTCGAAATAATACAATAATTTTTTATTTTAACCCTCTGTGGACTCGCCTAACTTTCAGGTTACAATTCAATTTTTTTGATATTTTATCATATGGCTTTTTTGTAAATCTTTATTCTATAACATTGCTAAGACAACCAATATCAATATTCATTACCTTTGCTGGGCTTTTCAACCTGAAATAACATTTCCATACACACAATTGCGAACATTATAGGCTGCTGTGACTTGAAAGTCACATAATTTATTGATACAAAAAAAAATTAAACAGTTTTTCATTTGCATATTTAAGTTTAAAATTACTTATTGTTTCCATATTTTTTTGTAGATGTAAGGGGGCGTCCATTAATCACGTGAGCTAGTTTTTGCGGATTTTTGGACCCCCCCTCCCCCTTGGTGATACTTGGTGATATTCAAAATTACCCCCCCTCCCCCACCAAACATCACGTGTATTTTTAGTACGTGAAAAAACTAAAATTTTGATTCTTTTTTTGAAAATGTTTGAATTTTTTATAAAAAGTCAGTTAAAAATAAATACACGTGATATCTTACCATACCCCCCCTCCCTCTCGTGATATTTCGTGATTTTTTGTCAAACCCCCCCTCCCCCTAAAAACCTCACGTGATTAATGGACGCCCCCTAAATGAAAAGTCGGCTCATAGAAGGTTAACGACAATACATTCTGTTCCAATATATTTGATGGAAAACAAGTAAACCGTCTGCGCATTTTGATACATTTTTTATTGTAAATGTAATAAAATAATCTATTAATTCGTATTAGCCTGATTTATGAACAAATTACCATCTTTATGAAAGTTAACTTGCACAGCAAATGCAACAATTTTCCAATCTTCAGAAGATTGGTTGCATCTTCTCTGAAGTGTATTGAAAATATTATATATGTATATATATATATATATATTTTATTTATATGTACCTGAAATCAAGGAAGAATGACCGCTCTGTATAATTTGTTACAAAATAAACAATAGGTTCTGATCAACCTGATCTTTGCAAGTCATGTCGAACAATTGATTAAAACAATTCTTGCGTGCACATGAAGTTACAAAGTTACCTGCAAAACACACTGATAAACAATTATAATCTCGAGATCGCTAAGAAAGATTGCTGTCGATCAATAAATTTATAAATTAAAGATGCTGGTTAAAATCAAAATATTTTAAAATCGTTAATTAGTACATTTCTTGAAACGTAGTTTTTTAAACACTGTCGATTAGTGGACAGTTATTAGCATTCCAAAATCAGTTAACACCTTACATGTAGTATAAATACTTAAAAGAATCTGCAAATATAAACAAATATTGCATAATTCTATTATCTTAGCTGTGATATGTAGGCAAGTATTAGACTTTCAACTATATGTGAATTTTGAGGCAACAAATAAGTTTGCGCTATTTTTTTTACTACTTTTTATAAAAAAAATCACTTGCATAATCAAATATAAGAAATAAAAATGCCTTCGCTTACGAATGAATGAATGACGTCTTGATATAACTTGATGTCTTGAAAGTGACTTGTACGAAGGTCAACATGATCTGAACATAGAACATGATTTTACAATATAAAGTAATTGCCAACATTTGTATTTTATGCACATTAGGTTTAATAATAATACAAAATAATTGTAGAGTACACCATTGGGACCTTATGGCGTCAAATAGCTGAAACTTTCAATTTTCTAAATAAAAGCTAATAAACATTACAAATTTAAGCGGGTAATTATTGATCAAAATTTTAAATAGTTTGCAAAAATATAAAAATTTCATACGTTCGTAAGCTTTAGTAAACCAATATTCTCATCTCTTCTCTATAAACTATTTACTTAGGACCTAATATTTCACGAATATTATTCATCGTTAAAAACGATAGATCAACGAAATTTAATACCTTTTAATAAACTTTATATATTTTTATTTAAACATAAAGTACTTATTAAATATATTTAAAATATAAATTTACTTAATGAAATAATTATGGCGACTTTATGAGACTTTCATTTTTATATTGATTAAATTTAAACTCAAAAAAAGTCTAAATGGTTTATTTTATTCTGAAACTATTATTCATTATTTGCGTTTGTTTTCGATTATTTTTAAGTTCAGATTCATATTATTCATATATTCGGATATATTCAGGTTTGGAAAGATTTGAAAAAAAATTAATTTAATCTTTTCAGATTTATAGTAAATTTATTATTCTATGATTTTTTTTAAATTTTTTACTGTGAAAATTGTAGGAATTGCAACTACGGGAAAAATTCAATTTGAATTTTTTTTTGTGAAAATGGAAAGTTTGAAACTTTTTGTGATTATAACATTTAAAACTAGTTGGTATTGA